CCTACATATTCTTGTAAAAAAGCCCTCGTTAATACGGCCAATTTTATTTGGCCCATTGGTGAGAGTATTAACAGCATTCCACAGTAATAGTAATAATAATAATGATTGACAAGGCCGTGAAAGTATGGCATGTAAAAATGAGATAAAACCTTAGGTATTGTGTGTGTGTTTGTTTACTGTTGATGTAAGAAGTATTTCATTGTGGTTTAATATCCCATTTTTACAGATACCAGGCTATGAGAATATTTGAGTCAAATCGTCAGCAAGGCTAGACTGGATTTAACCCCATAAGCTCAGCCAAACGGCATTCATTAATTTGAAAGAAGTCAAAGAACGTGCTAACAAAAAAAACCCTTAACCTTATCATTAGCTTCTGAAAAAAACAATCGAGTTTTCCTTGTAATTCTTAGTGATTTACTTCCATTTAACATCGTTGGCTAACGAGTTAATAGTTATATCCGCAAAAACAGATTATCTGTAAACACTTGCGTGCGTTTCCCCTTCCCCAAAGTTGATTTGGGTATTACAGTCGTCCCAGTACTCCAAAAAACGCGTGGCTCAACATTGGGGAAGGAGAGGGGGACATTTGAGTGAGAACAACGGTATGAAAAGTGAATGTACGACATTTGAAGAAAATTCAAGAAAAACGGCTTCCGTGACGTGTATTATAGTTATGTTTGAATAACTTACCAGCAACTACACATCGATGCGATAGCTGTACAGAATACAGTGTTGTCAAGAAAGCAAGGATCGTTGAAAACCTTGGGGAAAACATATTGTTCTAGGAGGAAAAACGACTGATGGATCTCGAGACACTCACGGAAGGCAAATAACTTTGCCAGACTAAGGAAATAAATACTGCAAGTGACGTCACACGAGCCTGCGGTTCGTATCAAAAAAAACTTTGGAGTCAAATAATACGGATTAATGTTAAGGACTGATTAAAAAAGATTTGAGAACAACAATAATTACAACATTGATGATAATTTCTATTGTTTCAAATTCATTAGGGTGACATTTTAATGTGTCTGTGCATAAACAGCCGACCTTTACCGAACATGTGCGTTGTTGCTTATGGCGTTGCGTGACACTACAGGGATTTGAGAGCCCTAGGGTGAGGAAACGACAAAACCGGGAGATAACAGGGTTGATCTCTTTTTGTTTTCAATTGTATTGGATCATTTTTAGTCATTTACGTTACTACATATATTTATATGTCAGTTTTATGTTATTAACGGTTACTGAAAGGTACAAAACTGAGAAACTTCCGTATGATACACACACCCCTCCCCCCAAAATTGGAATATATTTGAACTGATCCGATTTTCTCGGAAATCTAAAATTGGAAAAATACAGAAAGTTTCCGGGAATCTTTTACATTCGCGGAAAGGCTCAGTTTGATCAGAGTGTGTATTAGACAATTTGCTGCATTCTTTGATCGCAATACGAGAAGAGGGAATATCTTTCTCGGAAGGGAATTCAAATAGTACAAGGTAAGGAAATCAATCCATAATCTTGCAAGTGCTGAAGGACCCTCAAGGGGCTGGCCTGCTTCACGCGACGGCGTTCGCAGCCAGATCTCTTTGCTGTGAAGGTTCCCTTGTTCCGACAGTTCTCCAGGGAAGTTTAAAATAAGTAGAAACATTGATGATGTCGATCACGTAATGCTTCTTTAACAACGCGATGGACCTCATTTTAAGAACGTATTCCATAAACATATTTCCGGGTTCTCTTTTTATAGGATTTCAAACGTCTGATTTTCAAGACTGGTGACTCAGGCTCAAAATTAATGTATCACAATTAGGCAAGCTTTATTGTTTGTATGTGCGAAGTTCCATGGCTAGCTGGCCGCTAGCACGGTGTCCTAACTCGAAAGATTTGTCTTGCGTGTACGGGAGATTGTTTTCAGTTGTCCAGTGATTTTGTTACCTCTGCGTCCTGGTTCCCTAATAAATATACAAATCTGAAAAACATTCCCAAAGACGCAAAATAATTCATGGCACGCGTTTCGTAGGACGCAAAGATCGATCGAACGATTTGCCCGGTCGCTTTGAAGATTTTTGGTAGAATGTCCTGTTACAGTGTGATTTGGTTGTCTTTTTAGTAAACTGTAATAAAGCGTTTTGGCCTCCGTCTCCAGATTACCTGTCTGCCAAAGTATTTTCACAAATCTTTTCAATTAAAGACTCCTTGCCTTTTCTTTTTTGTTTTTGTCATGGGTTATGCACATATATGACTTCAGTCATGGTTTTCCACAAGATGAGTCCCAGGAGTGATTTAAGGATCATGACAGATGCGAGGTGCTCGATCTCGGTTGTGTTTCGGCCTGTCGCCATTCCAAGATCTGCTTCAAAACAGATCCAGATTACAGTAATATTTCGTGCACTTAATTTTCCATAGGATTAGATTCCAGTGGGGCAACGTTAATGAATAGAAAAAAATGGTTATCAATGTTAAAGAACGTAGACTTTTGCAGGAATATATAGAAACAGGATATAGAAAGAAAGATACATTCAATATTCGGACTGCTGGAAGTGTTCGGATCCAGTTACCTAAAGGCTATGCTCTTGATTACTCTTGATATCATCTCATAAATAGACAGCTTCCAGCCCGCCTAGGCAAAACCCTGGTTGAAATGCGGGACGCGGTCACTTTCGAATAAAACAGTTTCGAAAGCAGTTTCTTTGCTTCTTAAGTTTCAGAAAAGGAGACGAATCCTATTACTCACTATTACTATAGGGTAGTTTTCACAATGGTATATAATAAGCGTGATACGTACGCACAGAGGAACCTCGATATAACGAAGTCCTCGGTACATAGTAAACGAACGATTTTCTTTGCCTCAGAAATAGTAAAACATAAGAAAACGTTCCTCCATATAACGAAAACCTCGATCTCGTTATAGCGAACAAATCTTGGCCTTTCGTTGTATCGAGGTTCCACTGTAGTATTCCTTTTTAAGTTTTGTACGGAAATCAGATCAGGAAAAAACGAAAACATACAAATATTTTATTATACCTCGGTGTTTGCTGTGGGTTCCTCTACACTTTGTTGTTGTAAAGCGTTATGCCGGCTATTTTTTCTCGTGAAACTAGGCTTATGTTTTTATTTATTTGTGATTAATTCGTGATCTTGATTGCCCCAGTTTTGGAATTAAGCGTGTCACGTGAACGAAGTTTGGTTTAAACGTGATTCGTGATCTATATCATACTGAGCCGATTTCATTCTCGACGGATTTCTTTAGGCCAAAAAGCTTGTGCGCCCAAAACTTGTAACGAGGTCTAGCGTTTGAAAATGTACCCGTCCAGTCATAACAAAACCACCATCCCCCTCCCGCCGGGCTTACCCTGGGCATTTGACTGGAGTTTAGCTCTGAAAGTGTATGTACGAGAGTCGGGCGGTTTTGGAACTGACTGTCCGACGTACGTACGGACGGTTTTTTCAAAACCAAAATTTCTTTGATCTATAGATATTAAAACCAAATTGCCTTACCCATAATGATCCGCTGCTCACGCGCGCGACTAAAAAAATATAGATTTACATCAATATTGTAAGGTCACTATGTTTCGTTCATTTCATTTCATTTCTTTTTCTTTTTCTTTTTTTTTTTTGTTCTTATAAAAGTTACTAGTAAATCTGTCAACTACTTGTCTTTTCCTGTTCTTTTTTTTAGATGAATTTATGATCCCCTTGAGAGGGAGATAAAGTTCCAGCGTTGAATGATATGGGTAGGTATCAGGATCTGTCAGTATTTATCAATCAACAGAAATTTACAAAACTTACAAAGATATCTCGACACTGGAAACTTCATAAAAAAAGTTGAAGTTCATGTATTGGAGAAAATATTGAGAGTGGGCAATGCAGTAATGTGACAGTGACCTTAATAATGTTCCTAAATAATTTGTTTTGCCTTGACAATTAAAATTGTTGTTGTCCCTAGCTGCTTTTTAAAATTTTTCCTTTCGTCCATGCTTAAACACAACAGTAATTCCTCAAGCGAAATATCATAATAAGCTAGGTAGTTAGCCTCTATCTATCATAATTATAACACAGCTAGAAAATTGATTGCGTAATCAAGTTCAATAGGGCGAGCGTGCTACCCTCATATTCCTATTGAGCACACTGATGACGTCAATAAAAACTATTCCTCAAGTTGTTGTGAGCTTAGCATAAACAATCTTCTCAAGACGTCTCCCAAGTGCATCCATAACTCAGCAGTACACGATGAAACGTTTACCATTTGTTTTATAAGGTAATGTGAGAGAAAACTTTTGAATTTGTTAACCGATAATAGGGAAAGGAGGTGAGTCATGTTGTTGTTGTTGTCATCTCCGCGAGCTGTGCGGGCTATGGCTTGTGAAAATCATTCCTTGCAAAGTTGTTTCTCTCCAAAGTAGTTTTTCAGTGAATTTATAGTTTTACGGCACCTCAAAGTGGATTTCACAATCCTTTTTAGAGTAAACGTTCTCTCAGTTTCAGGATAAAAATATAACCGCAAGGTAAATAGATACACTGTATAGTCACGTAGACATTGAAGCGTACTGCTTTGAGCGTGCGTGCCCTACAACAATATAATTTTAATTTAGCGGCGGCTGCATTGATCGCTTTGATAATGTTATAAAACAATTAGTTTATGCTTCATCGGTGCGTAAGTCGAGATATTGAGCACTTGGGAAGTTTGGAGAGCACTCAAGAGGCTAGAGTTGCACTCGGCTGCGCCTGGAGCAAATCTTACGCCTCTCTCGATCGTGCTCTCCAATTTTCCCGCGTGCTCAATATCTCGATATACACACGCTGACGCATGAACTAATTGTTAAATGGTGGGATGTTGCGATCGTCCGTTTATTAATTCCAGTCTATACGGGTTTTTCCCAATCTAGTCCAAGTCGACCTAGCCAGCCACTTCAACAATGTCATCACACGAGCGTCTCAATAATTCGCCAACACTCCATTTTATTCTAAATCAATGACGCCGTTTGGTATATTTGGTATATTAGCTTTTATATTCATTTTATTTAGCGGATTCTGATGATGAAGATTTTGACTTGATTCAGCCATCGCTGATCCAGCAATTAAGGAAAATCTTAGATGAATACCCAGACGACGGACAGGTCTTGAAGGTAAAGTTGGATTCTTTTTTTTGACATTATACTCTAGCAAATTACCAAATGAATGTGAGTATAAAAGACGATGTTAGTCTTATAACGCAGGTGAAGTGTAAAGGCTTATTCTTATGTGGAAGGACAAGCCTTGCGAGACTGGTGCTCAAGTTCATTAAAAATTTTCGCGCCTGTCAAAAGAAAGGCCATCCTCTGATAAGGTCATCCAGGACATCCAGGCAGATCTAGTTTGTTGACGCTATCCATGTCATGGTGTAAGTCAAACTTGCTCCAGGCGATGTCACTATAATCAAGTGGTGGAAAAATTATAGTGCTGTAAACAAGTATTGCTAGCTCTTTTATCATGAAAGCTCTAACACAGCTTTTGGTACTAACTCTTGTCGTCACCTTGTTACTCACATACTCCGTGTGAACCTTTCATTTGACACAGTGTTTAAACACCTACCAGTAGCCCGGAGATATGAAAGTAGGTTTGCAAGTTGCGGCCGTTCCGCGAAGATTTAGACTAAAACCACAATCACCCTCCTTCTTATTGAACTTCATCAATTTCAATTACTTCATCTTAAAGTTTATACTAGCTGTTTACCGTTCCTTAATGATAGCCATGCATTGCTCTGTAGACTAGTTGTGGTGTCTTTTGTTTTTTATATTCAAGGAACTTATTCAAAATGCGGAAGATGCGGGTGCCACACAAGTCAAATTTCTGCACGACAAACACAGCTATGGAACAGATAAGCTCTATAATGAGGAACTGGCAAAATTTCAGGTACTACTTTCTCAGTTCGTTTTAATCTCGAACCTGAAGAAAGCACCAGTTCATGAGTTTCGTTGATGAACATCGCGATATCTGTCCAACCAGCCCTGCTTTGTGCTGCTGTCCCGGAACACTTAATTTATGTAGTAATTCTCGCTCCCTCTCGCTGCACTTCACAACACACACCGAGGCTCTCTTAAGCTTTAGATAAAGTTAACGTCTTTATGGTGATCTGATGAGCTTTATAGTTTAGTTGTCCCTCTGTTAATTGCCACTTTTTCTTAGCGGGTCCTTGCCTCAGTCCTGGTAGACAGATTTACTCTTGTTTCAAAATCTTTAAAACGGTCCTCTTCCTTTAACGGCCTCTTTTGTCTGTTCTTAAGATGTTCCTTATGAAGAGGTTCCACTGCGCTTGAGAAATCGTACCAAAGGCATGCAAATATAACTATAAGAGTTAGGGAACTTAATATATCCTTTTACTTGTATATAGGGTTCAGCACTTTATGCCTACAACAACTCGAAATTTAAAGAGAAAGACTGGACAGGCATCCGACTAGTCTGTGATAGTATCAAAGTGGAAGATCCCATGAAAGTTGGTCGCTTTGGTTTCGGATTCAAATCTGTCTTTCACATGACAGGTAAAGCAAAATACCATCAAAGTACTTGTGAGCTGAAGATGAAAATTATTTTTTGTCGTTTTTTTTTATTAGTAAGTTACAAAAGAATGACGACCAATCTTCCGCCACATCAGCGATGTGAAAAACCTCTTAGACGTCAGCGAGACAAAATTACCTTGAGGTAGTAGTTAAATGCGACTTATTCAAGGTTTGCGGCGCCAGGACACTTGTAAAAATATTCTTTAGAAAATTTATAATAAAGTCTTGAAGTCTTGCAAAAGTCAGTAAGTGGTCTGAATTGACGGAAAGCTACAGTATGGTTGAACAACGGGCAGCAGTAACTAGACTTTATTACAAAGCTATCTCCGTTTAAATTTACATCCAAATTCACATTTCACTCTTTTATTTGTAATCAGTTTAATTCTTAACTGGCCCTATGACGTTCCGATGCGGACCAAATTATACCGATGGTAAAAACATGTTGAAAACATAATATACCTAAGTCGAAACTTATAAAATGCATTAAACGCAATAAAAAATATGTGTGGAGGTTTGCAAAATGTATGTTCATTGATGAAAAAATACTAAGGTAATGTCGTGACTACAACCAAGAGTCGAAATTTTGAAATGTGAGTCGAAAAAAATGTCGAGGGAGAGATAACGCTGACCAGTTGAACAGTAGCAAAAAGAGAAGACCCTGAGGAGATGGGATAAAATCATCGTCCATAAAGCGCAGAAAATGTCACATGCTTTTGCCTTTCGAATGCTCTTTCTATCGTCGTGATATCGCTTCTGATTTGCAAGACTGTCCGACTTGTTGTGGAGAACTTGTAACACTGCAATGGGTGACAGACCGCACATCTATAACGGCGTGAAAACGTCTGTCTTTCTTTTGCCCATCGCAGCCGGAGATTATCAGCCCCTCTGTTATGGTTGACAAGGTTGGCTTGCGAATTTTCGGTAGAGTGTAGAAATCTGGTATTTTAGCTGAATTCAGTGTTTGATTAGGTGTTTGGCCTTTTGTTGTCATGTCATCAATATGTTTTTCACGGTCTTCACGGTGTAGATCCGTAATGAGGCGCAAGACCTTGCTGTGCGTTTCTTTCACCATTGGATCAACGAGAGGTCTGAAGTTATGTAAGTCAACGATTTTTATCCTCTCCTGTTTTGTCAGTTTTGTTCATGACTTCTGTATAGTGCTTCCCTTGTCCTCTTCTTAACTGATTTGTCTCGTTGAACCAGTGTGTCAAGGGCACCCAACGACCGAATTTTTCCAAACATAGTCATAAATGTCTAAAATAGATTTCCCTATGCTTTTGTTTCGTCAATTTGGAGCTGCCCTAAAAATTACTTATCTGTTCGGATGTTTTAGGGGAACTTTGGCCGTCTCGAAAGTTTTGGCTATCCCGACGCTTCTTGTCGAAACTGCGAGGACACGGAGTCATCATACTTTCATTAGAAAATATTAGGGGACGAGTTTCCCTTATATCGAAATTTTTAGGTGACCTTTTTTTTTTACCAATAATCGCCAGTTCTTAGGGATAAAATCTGAAAAATCCAACTCCGAAAAGCGTTGGGAAGCTAATAGAAAAAGTTCCAAGTATTTTAGATGAATGGAAAGGTTTTCCAGAAATATTTAGCTTTACTTTTTTATAGAAATTTCTAGGCTATATTTGCTCCTTCGAAAAAATATTTTGCAAAAAACTGTCGTTGGGTGTCGCGGTGGGTTCCACTCATATTTAACACAGAAGGCGGGTGAACTTCTCTATTTCTAAACAAACGTAAGTCTTAGCAACAGAGTTGCAATTGTCGTTTCGTACTTGTCAAGGCGCCGAAATGGGACCTTCCATCTTTCATATGACCCTGAACTAGTAGCTGCGTTTCCGAGTCCTGCTAATCTACAATAGGGACTTTTAGCATCGCAGTTTTCGGGGAGAGGGCAACGTCATTGACCGAGGAGGACTAAGAATAGTTGACACCGTTCCTGCCAAAATCAAAAATACTTTAGCTGACACCTTCTGTTCGACGGGGTAAACATAACAAAAATCAACACGAAATTTAGAGTGAGGAAAAAGAATTTAGTGATAGATGACAAGTTTTAAAGAACTCTGCGATCTCCTGGTGACATGTAATGACAGTAAGATTATCTCAGACGAAGAATTTCTTACTTTGAATGATTCGCTCCAGTCTGAAAATTCCGATTTCGACTACGAGTGCTATTCTGCCTTTGATCTTGCGGAAATGAGCATAGCGGATTATTTTGCAGAATTTCGTTTTGAAGAGCAAGACATACCTCGTCTTCCCCAAGCACTAAAACTCCCCTCAACTTTTAGATCTACCTCATTGATCTCTGTGTTGTATCCCTGTACTGTATGTCTAAGAGCCAAGTAAGAATTCAAGCACGTCTATTGTAAACACGAGCCTTTATTAAAAGCTGCTTAAAGTCCAAACATGAACAGAATAACAAAGGAATGGTCTTGAGTGCTTCATGACTTATTAATGCATAAAAAGGCCCTCCCTTCAACTCTTATTTTAAGAGAGACTCTTGCTATATATTGAAGTTTGAAAGGCCAAGTTTCATTTTTTTTTTCTACATTTAAGCTTATACACAACAAATAAAAAGTGACGTTCACTTATCGTCGAGAATTTTCTGAACCATAGCAAGGATCATCTGCCGCTGGTTTCTGCGACAGTGTTTGAAACACCTGCTGCTGGCTTTGTTGCTCCTGCTTTCTTATTTCTAGCTCCTGTTGTCTAATTTCTCTGTCAGCTTCTGACTTCTCGCTTAAGAAGTCTACGAGTGGCTTCGCACATCGGCCTGACTTGCTCCGCTTGTCGGTAGATCCATCCTTGCTTTCGGATTTTCGCTTATTCGTTTCTCCTAAGGTCTCCATCGCCTTCTTTCTCATTTTTTCAGCCGTATCTTTTTCCTGTTGTTTGAATACAGTTTCGGCTTCCGACGCTGCCGCGGTGTCTTCTCTGTAAACTAGCTCCTCAATTAGAGCTTCTTTCTCTGTCAAGTCGTTCACAGCAATTCCACTCGCATTTTCTTCCTCGCGAATTTTCTTGGTAAACTTTTTCCTTAGTGACATCCATCTCTTTCTCACTGCTCTTTTGTCTTTAAGTTGAAACTCTTGAGACTCCAATCCATTGACCGTCGATACTATTGCCTCCCAAGCTAGGCCACGAGCTGAGCTTCCTTTTTTGTGAGCGAAAACATTGAAGCATAACATTTCCCTCAACGTGAAAACATCTTTTTCCTCCGTCCATTCCATCGGCCTTAAAGAAAAGTTATCGTAATTTAAGATCACTTAATTATTCTATATAAAATTAAAGCTTTTCGGTAACTTTTGCTCTATTTCTTACTTTGTTTTTGATCGCTCCCTTGTCTCGTCCACTGCAGCCATATTTGACCTTAAACTTCACTCAACTTCACCCTAAAAAAAAAAACAGATAAAAAATTGCTCATCTTTGGCCTCGCCATCTCGATAGACTATGAAAAGAGACTCTTTCTTCATTTTGAAGGCATTTGAGCCTAAAATAAATGTAATATGCTAATATAAATGAAAAAGAAACCAGAAGTCTACTCATGTTTTCTGCGTAACGCGGAAAACAGCTTTTTGGCGTCGGCACGGACCTTGCACAACGTCGCGCCAAAACCTACGACGCGAACCGGAAATAAAAATCACTTCCGGTCGCCGTCGCCGTCCCAAAATGCTCTCGTGCTAAGGGTCCCTAATATTTGGTAGCCAACGAACCGCAACTTTCGATGTTGCCTAGGTCGAAGACATCAATTGACAACAAACTGGTTAGCGTTCTCTCTTTCTCGATCACGTTTTTTAATTGTCGTTTCGTATTCGTCAAGGCGCCGAAATGGGAGTTCCCAGCTTTCGTATGGCCCTGAACTAGTAGCTGCATTTCAGAGTCCTGCAAATCTACAATATTTGGTAGCCAACGAACCGCGACTTTCGTTGTTGTCTAGGTCGAAGACATCGATTGACAACAAACTGGTTACTGCGCTTTTCACAAACATGCGAATTCTGAAGTTCAAAAGCCGCCTTCACAATTGCGTTTTTCGCTGCCGTCAATCATCTTAACGGACCTCTTAGGAAACAAAACTTTACTTCAACGGTTCAAAAGGTCATGGTTTGTGATTTGTGATTGGTGGATTTTGATCTATTTCATGTGTTTGTGTGTTTCAAGGTTCATTGCTTGTGATCGTAATTATGACTGACGGCAGCGAAAAACGCAGTTGTGAAGTCGGCTTTTGAACTTTAGAATTCGCATGTTTGTGAAAAGCGCAGAAACGTTCTCTCTTTCTCGATCACGTTTTTCTTTTAACTCGACTCATTTTTTTTTCAACTCAACTCGCTTTTTTCTCGAATCAAATTTTAGAATTTCGACTCGTGTTTGTAGTCACGACAATTAATTATTGCTTAGTGTTTTTTCGTTCGAAAACCTACATTTTGCAATGTAGATCCATATTTGTTACTGCATTCGATGTATTTTACAATTTTCGACTTACGTATTATGTTTTCAATATGTTCTGTAACATCGTTATGATTTTGTCTGAAAAGAAACGTTATACTGGCCGTTGTATCTAAACTATTTGAAATTCCGTATTGAGGCTGTCTTTCGGAAACTTTCGTAATAGTGAGCTGTTGTCCACATTAGAGCGGTGTCCGTAATAGAGAGGTGTCACAGTTAGTATGGCGAGGTTGGAAGTGATACATATTATTTGGCCCTTTCTCCCCTCAGATTTGCCAAGTTTGATTAGTGATTCGCGGATTGGCTTCATTGATCCTCATGGCGTTCATTTTTCGGACAGGCGTCGCATAAGAACAGGGAAGTACTGGCGACTTGAAGAAGGCCGCGCGTCCATCGATAAGTTTTGTGACCAATTCCTTCCTTACAAAGGCATATTCAACTGCACGGATGAAGTTTTCTCTCAAGGATTCTATGATGGAACTCTATTCCGTTTTCCACTCAGAATGGAACCCTCGAAGCTTTCAGAAACACTCTACAACGCAGATAAGATGACGACGTTGTTTGAGAGTTTCAAAGCCGATGCTCCCTTGATTCTCCTGTTTTTGCAGAGTCTGGAATCTGTTGAGCTCTATACCAGAGAGGAATCAGATTCCAGTCCCAGTAAAATCTTTCAAGTGAAGATTGCGGAGAAAAGCCTGCAGACAGTTCGTGCGAAGAGGAAGGAGTTTCTGAAGAAAATGACTCCTGGAAAAGTGAGGCCCGAATCATTTGCAGTGAGCTACCCAATGACCATTGAAACAAATAATTTCGAGACGCACTTGACGGAGAAACATTCATTCTTTGTTACAAACTACCTCTGTGGTGGGCAAGTATCTTCAACGTTCAAAACGTTGATGACAGATAAGGATCTCAATTATCTCCCCACAGTTGGTGTTGCCATGGCATTGCCAGAAGGTCCACAGTTGCAGACGCCTGATATCCAAGGCCACGTCTTTTGTTTCTTGCCGTTACCAATCCAGACGAAAAGCTTAACTGGTTTGCCAGTGCACGTTAATGGTTTCTTCGCTTTGAGTCAGAACAGGCGTTACATCAAGTCTCCAAATGCAGATCAAGAAAATCGTCAGAAGGCAGGACGTAAGATGACTGATAAGTCCTTGTTATGGAATAAGTGTCTTCTCGAGCAAGCCCTTCCTAAGGCTTACGCCACCATGATTTTGGAAGCCATAGAGGAGAAGTCAGTTTTCATTTCCAAGACCGCAATCTATAAGTAAGTAACATGCTTAAATAAAGCCCTAATCAACTTTGTTTCCTACTCAATGTTTTTTACTCCTGTAAAGATCATCGTCAGTTGTTAACGAATATCTTCAGTTGTACGATACTTGAAAAGAATCGTTTACTTGCTTAAAATATTTGGTGAAATAGAAAAAAGCATCATTTCCTTTAACTTCAAAAGGAAGTTGAGCAAGTACAAGTACTGTTTCTGAGTTGCTAGATCGGTCAAATGACGTCTGTTAGATGGATAGAGACTTCTTCATTTTCTGTCCAGTTGTCGAGAACAAATTCATATGTTTTAAAAGACGATGAGGACTTACTTTTTCCACCGCTATCCTGACTGAAGCTTTTTTGGGAAAAAATACTTTTTTCAACTCCAACTTAAGAAAAGAGGATAAGATTAAGTATGAGTGATAATCCATAGAATACATGCATTCAGAGGACATAACATAACAGTTTGTCGAAATGAATTGACTTAGCTGAAAAGCTACTGATAAAAGGATATATAGTACAATACAAAGATTAATCATAGCTTCTAAAAATATTTTATTGTATTAGATTAAGACGATAACGCCTTCACAATTACCGTTCATTCAATTGAAACTCTTACAAATGATCATAATGTTTATTATTTGTCCCTATTAACTGAATAAGTATCGCCGGTCTGTCAAAAACCACTACCTACAGCGAGAGTGAGATATTTTTTTGTTTTGTTTTTGCTGTTCACATAAAAAGGCCTTGCTCATTCAGTTCAAGGTATAGAAATTTTTATATCTCGTTTCAGAGCGTGGCCCGATATTGGCATTATAGACAAGCAGTGGAAAGGGCTTGAGGAACCTCTATTTCGGTTTCTTTTGGCAAAGAAAGTTGTTCACACCGAAGCAAAAGGTGGCAAATGGCTGGAAGTTTCAGAAGCGCTTTTTCAGCGTCGAACAGACGGCGGACAACATCAACTGCTTCGGAAGGTTCTGTTATCCGTTGGTGCTCCTGCTGTCACTGTACCAAGTCACGTACTGAAGGCTGTGGATGTCTATGCACCAGGTCAAACGGAAATAACCCCTCCTCTGACACGGCGCGTGTTAAGGAAGGTACCATCATGCTACACCGGCCTTGATAAGACAGAAAAGCTGCTGCTTCTCCAGTTCTGTCTTAGTGATCGTGCTTTTGAAGATCTGGTTAGCTTGCAGCTTTTGCCATTGGCCAATGGAACATTTGCCAAATTTGACAGTCGTGCTACGACAGTTTACATTACCTCTCCCGAACATTCTCAAGAACTTTTTCCAGGCTTGCCTGAGAGATTTTTGCAGAACGACTTGGACGAAGATATTTATGGAAGCCTAAGATGCACAGCTTCTGAAGGTATGCCTCTCATAACATGTGTCATTTCTTCCCAAACTAGATTTAATCTATACTTAGGAAGGCACTATTAAGCTTATCTTAAATCTAGCCATGTGCTGGAGCACTTTTTATGTTAAGCACCACACAGGCTCATTTTGTTAGGATTAAATCCCCCAAAATCTAGATACTTTAACTCTACTTTAGTGTAATTAACGCTTGCATCAAGATTTATAGTTCTGATTATTAAATCCCTGAATTCGTTGTATCAGGAGTTGGGCGCCAAAATTTAGTTCGATCAGTGTAATTAACTGAGAAATACAACATGAAATGTAAAAGCTGTCAATTATTAGGTAATTATGAGATAAATAACTTGCTGTTATTGAGTCAAATTGGTCTTTCAATCGAGGTTTATTTTCTTTGATAAAGAGCATTTTGTATATAAAGCAACCCGGCTTTCGACGGCATTTTTCAGGGTTTTAATCGCCGAATGTTCATATTCGTTGAAACTTTCAACAAGATTGCGGCATGTTTAGCTTATATAATCTGCATCACAATAGGAGTTTGATAAGATTGTTAAGCGTGTCATTTTATGTTTTTCAAAAATGGTATTTCTTATCAGCCTTAGTTTGTCTTTGGATCTTAAAAAGAAAAGGGGAAAGTTCCTTGCCACTGATGAGGTCTTCGTCGTGCTAATGATTGTTGTGTTTAAACAAACCAGGCCAAACTCAGCTGCAACTCCTTAGAAGCCATCACGTTCCTGAACTTCTTTGGCAGTCGCTTCCGCCAGACTGGGGAAAAGGCGACTCTGTTTTGTGGTATCCAGATGACCCTAGTCACCACCATCCAACAAGAAGTTGGATCCAGTCGCTCTGGAATTATCTGCAACGCCACTTTACAAGTGAGGCGGATATTCGCCGGCTCGAAGGACTACCTTTGATCCCAGTTAGTATGTCTCAGACACCTGTTACCTTGACTCGTCTCTCCCGCCCTAGTAGGATTGTTGTCAAACAGATGAATGACGAATACATTGATGAAATCTTGGAAAATGTGTTTAAAAGGCTGGGCATTCTTGTACTGCATGATCTACCGACTTTCATAAGCTACCACCCGGCTGTCATGGGAACCTACGTGAATTTACCAACTGTCGAAGATTCTGTGAAAGCAATGATGACAACGTATTCTAAGTTACCACCTAAAAGGTTTTCTGAATTCCTTCAGGAAGAACTTTCCACAACAGAAAAGCTTGTCCTAAGATCTTTTCTTGCGGGTATCAGACCCTTTTACATTAGACGGGAAGGATATAGAGTCTTCTTGTCTTCCCTGCCAATTTTTGAGACACTCACCAAGAGGTTCGTTTCAAAGAATGATGACCTGAGTGCAGCCCCTGTTGAGGGTCTTCCAGTTACTCCACAGAAAGACCTCATTGATATCTCCAACGATGATTCCAGGATTCTGGCAAAACTCCTACAAGTCAGGATTCTACAGCCTATTGAAGTTCTCTGCGAGATTATATTTCCCGGAATCCATGAAGGATACTACGATGAAGATCAAATTGATCAGGTGATGCTTTATGTTCTCGCGCATTTTACACATACTATCCGTAAAAACGATAACTTCAAGCGGCAAGTTAAAGCTTTAGCCTTTGTCCCAAAGCAGAGAGAAAGGGTCAGGGCATCAGATGTGTTTGATCCCCGAAACGCCACGCTTAAAAAGATATTTGCTGAAGAAGATGTCTTTCCGGTAGGCGAGATGTACAATGATCCAGCTACGCTCGTTGTTTTGGAGGAGCTTGGAATGAAGAATGAAGCCAACATCACTACCAGAGACCTCGTACGAAGTGCTAAACAAGTTAGCAAACTTTCACGTCAACAAACAGCAAGACAGAAGTCTGAAGCAATTTTACATTATCTCACCTTTCATCCGATGATGCTTAAGAAAACAGTCGATGGAAAAGAGCTGGGATTGTTACTGATGAACATTCAGTGGCTGACTCGGATGGAACAGAAAGCACCAAGTTTTCCCGCTTCGCTTCCATGGTGGGAGACTAAAGAAGGAGATGAATGCTTTTTCAAGCCAACAGAGTTAAAGAGTTCTGCACTGGTCAATCTCATTGGAACTGTTAAACCCGTTATAGAATTAGAGCCCTTCAATGACGTTTCCGAGTACTTTGGCTGGCGAAAACTAGGTGTCTCTGATGTTGCATTGCAGTTGAAAAATGTAATAAGTTGTTATTCCAAAGACGAAAAACGATATTACTTGGTTATATTACACGAAATTTACTCCTTTCTCAGTCGTGTAGGCTACCAAAACATAAGTGAGGTATTTCAAAAAACGGAAATTGTCAACTGGGTATGGAATGGGAATGGCTTTTCCTCACCTAACGAAGTGCTTTCTGGTGACTCTGCTATTGATCTTGCGCCCTACATACTCCCTCTTCCACCGGAGGTGAAGATGTTTACTGACCTCTTTGCTCGTTTTGGAGTTAAATCACAGAGTGATTCAACTGTCTTATTGCAGGTTCTCTACGCGATCAAAGAAAAGTATGACGTTGAACTGTCTTCATTATCAGTTTCTGAAGTGTGCCACGACCTACAGTTATCTGTTGGCATATTGAACAAGTTGGCAAGGGAGGAATTACCACCAGATATTCAAGAAAAAATTGTTCTTCCTGTTTATTTCGATGACAACAAATGTCTACGATTTGAACCAGTTGAGCGCTGCATGTACAGTGAAGACAGCGAGTGGCTGATGATCGACGATGAAAATGAAGACATGGAATACCTCTACGTGCACCCTGACGTTCCTAGCCATACTGCTCAACGTCTTGGTGTTCCTTCTCTTACAAATCGAATGTTGGAGCCTGAGGAACTGTACATAGGAGAAGAATTTGGACAGGAAGAGAAGCTTACTACTCGACTCAATCGACTACTAGAAGACTACACTGATGGGTTTGCAGTGCCAAAAGAACTAATTCAGAACGCAGACGATGCTGGTGCGACTGAGGTTAGATTTCTTTACGATGAGCGAACTAACGAGGATGCCAAAACCTGTCTCATTGACGAAGGAATGAAAGGTTGTCAGGGTCCCGCTTTATGGGTCTATAACGATGCAGTGTTTAAAGATGAAGACTTTATTAACATCACGAAACTAAATGAAGCGACCAAAGCGCATGATACTGCAAAGGTCGGCAGATTTGGACTTGGATTCAATGCCGTGTACAACCTGACAGATGTGCCCATGTTCGTTAGTAGGAACTACTTGGCGATCTTTGATCCTCACACTTCCTTCCTGGGAAAAGCAATCAGAAACATAAGAAGACCGGGAATGAAAATAAATCTCAACAAAGACGTCAAAAGACGGAAAAAATTCAAAAATCAGTTAAAGCCCTTTTATGGCATCTTTGGGTGTGATTTACGTCTCGAGAAACAAGACAACTCATTTGACGGAACCCTTTTTCGGTTTCCACTGCGGACGAAAGATCAGGCTTCAGCGAGTGAAATTAAGAAGTTATGGTACAACCAAGAGCAGATGCGCGAATTGTTGCAAATGTTTCTCCACGGAGCTGAGAATGTACTACTATTCACGCAGAATGTTCTAAGTGTGGGAATTTATCACTTACCGAACACTGAAAGCCAAGATCCACAGCCTACATTGATGTTTCAGGTCACGAAATCGGCATCCCATGCTGGAATCTTGAGAGAACTGTCGTTTACATTTACCCTTCCTTCAACTGCATTTAAGCTTACTCCAGAGGAAATGAGTTTTCTTCAACAGTGCAACTTCCTTCAAGCTTCATCAAAAAGCAAGATGTTGGCACGCGGCAAGAAAGTCGACGCCAAAAAGCTTCCAAAGTCGTCCATGATAGTTGACGTCGAGTGCAGGTTAACAAAAAGCGGTTCTGATTTCTTTCATGACGGTTTCCATTCGGAAAAGGCAACATGGCTCATTGTCTCGTCTATGGGGAACGGTCAAGCACTGAAGTTTGCAAATGACGATCCTTGTCTTCTTCCATCAGCGGGAGCAGCCGTTCAGTTGCTTCCAACAGAGTCAAACACTTTCTGTCCCTCACCAGTTGCGAAAACGTTTGATGGTTTAGATCTCAAAGGCACTATATTCTGCTACCTGCCGCTACCAATTCATAGCGGTCTACCAGTTCACATAAATGGAGCATTCGCCTTAGCCTCGAATAGGCGTCACTTGCAAATGAAACTGGAAGACGACAAGTCTTGCTATGGAGTGGAATGGAACAATGTACTGCTGCTAGACTCTGTAACATCTGCTCTCTTAGATCTTCTGGAAGATATGAAAGGCATTGCTCCCAAAGATGGCTCATACAAGTTTCATTGTCTGTGGCCAAAGACGTCCGAAGTTCATCGAAACTGCTTTCCACTAGTTCTGTCGTTCTACACACAACTCAGCAGGGGTGGTTATTGTCTTTTCTCCAATGGAGAGCACTGGGCTAACATTACGCAAGTCATTTTTCTTGATCCATTTTTCCGCAAAAAGCCCTATATCGGGGAGGCCGCGAATGACGTTCTAAAAATGTGTCACAGGGGTAGAGAAATAGTCATAGACTTACCTGCCGATATTTTGCAGTCTTTCGAAAATTGTCGCCTGGAGAAAGCAATCGGTGCCAGAAAATATAGCAAGAAAAGATTTTTTCGTGAAGTTTTTTTTCCAAACGTTCACATCCTCCCGGCCAATGTTAGAGATGTCCTGACTCTACATGCTTTAGATGACAGAAGTGGGGAGTTCTATGACTTGATAAGGCGGCACCCTTGTGTCCCATCTACACCATTTGGTAACACTCTTATGACTCCTAGCGAACTTGTAGATCCCTGCGGAGAAGCAGCGTCACTATTTTCCCCTGAAGATGGTAGATTTCCTTATGGGACTGAAGAATCGTATGCTCAGCCGCAAAGGTTGTCCAAGCTTGTACAACTGGGAATGTTCTCGAATGATCTTCCTTGGTCCGATCTTACAGAACGAGCCGAGAGCATCCAAAAGCTTAATTCAGATAGCAGTAACGAAGCATCAACGCGCATAACAGCATTGTTATCTTTCATGGAGAAGAAGTTAATTCGCCAAGAGAAACCTACATCTCAGATTTCTGCTCGTTTGTTAAATATTAAATTTCTTCCCATTCTCCAGAAACCAAGAGAATTTCCTCTCCCTTGGAAGGGAGAAGAACTTGTAGAAAATTCACAAGTACTGCTAGCACCGAATGAAGCTTTCCTAGAAGAGAAAAAGTACTTAGTGTGCTGCACAGTACCATTAATTGGGGTTTCCGTTCCAAAGGAATTGAGATCCCTGTTAGATCTGGACAAAAAGGGAATTACATTGGATCAAGTGGTACTTCAACTGACGGCAGCAGTGTCCACAAAAGTAGATTTACTTAGTGCATCAGAGTACAAGGAACTAAGCCTGGTCTGTACCAGTCTTTATTCATGTCTTCAGAACTCCCTTGCGCGTTGCAGTGATGAAATCATAGCATACCTTCAAGGAACAAGTTTTATTCTTGTCGGTAGGAGGTTTCTTTCTGCCAATCAGGTTGCATTTACATTGCCTGTTGATTGCTCCCCGTATCTGTTCCAAATTACGCATGAATTGGCTTTGTCTTTTACCCCATTACTGAAGGCGGCTGGTGTTAAGACCAAATTCGATGAACAAGATTACATTTCAAGCCTACAGAAAATAAAGGAACAAGCCGGACAACAGCGCTTAGATAAGCAAAACCTTCAAGTTGCAATACATATCGCAAAGCAACTCGGTGAAACTCTCGATGTCACCAGAACTAACAGGCAGCTGTTGGAAATGATATACGTCCCCAACTCTAAAGGAATAATGCACCCGGTATCTGAACTTTGTATTAGAGACTGTTCTTGGCTGCCAGACGAAGAAGGTGTGAACTTTATTAATGACAACATTCCTTTACTAACAAGTAGGAAACTCGGAGTTAAAACACGAAAACAAGAAGCCCTGAGACCCCGTGCATATGGGATTCCCTTTGGGCAACGAGAGAAACTCGCAAACCGCTTAAAACGCATTCTAACAGGTTATCCTTGTGAAAAAGAAATTTTGAAAGAGCTCCTTCAAAATGCTGATGATGCACAAGCAACTGAGGTTTGGTTCATTAAAGATCCTCGACACCATCCAGACGAAAGAGTTTTTGAAGACATTTGGAAGCCTCTGCAAGGTCCTGCATTGTGTGTGTATAACAACAAACCTTTCAGAAATGAAGACATTGAGGGAATACGAAACCTTGGCGAAGGAAGCAAAGGGGATGATCCTAACAAGACTGGCCAGTATGGAGTCGGCTTTAACGCTGTTTACCACTTGACTGATGTACCCTCTTTTATGACAAAAGGAAAGGACATTGGAGAAGTTTTGTGTGCATTTGACCCAAATTGCAGATATGTTCCTGGCGCAACACCTCAAGAACCAGGAATGCGTTTCGAGGACATCCCATACTTAAGAAAGCAATTCCCGGATGTATTTCCGTGTTATCTGGAGAATCACTTTCAAACTGAAAATGGCACAATGTTCAGATTTCCTCTGAGAACAAGACAAATGTCCGTGAATTCTCTAATATCAAACAGGCTTGTGACACTTGAGATGTTGGATACAATGCTAGAGGACCTTAAAAAGGAATTGTTTGAAGTCCTCTTATTCGTCAACAATGTAAAAAAGATTACCATCTGTGAGGTTCACAAAAACACTGGAGAACTAGTTAATTTTTACACTGTTGAGACTGCTATGTCAAAGGAGGATGAGACCAAAAAGCAGACCTTTTGCGAAAGGATCAAAAAGGTTGGAACGTATCCCCTTCCAAGTGATATTCCAGCAGCGAAAGTGTCTTACGTGCTGAATATTTCAGACAGTTTTCTCAACCAAGAGAAATGGTTCATTGTGCAACAGATGGGATTTCAGAAGGCGGTGAAAAAGAGTATAGCGAATGCCTTCAAGCGAAAGGAGCTGGGAATGCTTCCTCGCGGTGGTGTTGCCTGTATTTTGGAAAAGAATTATAAAGACAATGTCGAGCGAGGTAAGAAAGCCTACTGTTTTCTTCCACTTCCATTTGAAACGGATCTACCAGTGCACATCAACGCGCATTTTGCACTGGACCACGAAGCAAGGCGAAATTTGTGGAAAGACGAAGGGGATGGGTATCGCAGTGACTGGAACAATGCCTTACTAGGAGATGTGGTGGCCTCATGCTATCTCACGCTATTAACTGAAGTGCGAGCTTTTCTTAAACTGCCCATCTCTAGAGACGGAAAACCTTGCACCTTAACGTGTTCCGAAGGTGAGGTTTTGCAAAGCATCAAGGCCTACGAAAGCATCTTTCCACTCAAACCTCTTTCGGATCCGTACTGGGAGACACTGGTAGATTCTCTTTATGCTGAAATGGCAAGCAACATGGTAAGAGTTTTACCAGTAATAAGAAACAAAATAGCGAATGCAGTGTTTCCAGAATGTGAAAGCAGGGACATTGTTGAGCTCAGCTGGTTTCCGCCTGTTGGGCAGAGTAAACGACAAGAGGCGTTCTTTAATGACCTTACAGAAAATGGTCCCTTTGTCAGGCTGCCACAGAGGGAAAGAAATGAGCTCCAGACAAATGCAAGAAGAAGGTTTTAAGAGATATTACTGGAAAGTGGATTCAACCTGGTAGCCTTCTCCTTGAACTTGCATAAAACATTTACACGATCTGGAATTCCCGCGTGTACAGTTACCCCGCGTTCAGTGGTTGATTTCTATAAATCGTTAACCTCTCAAGATCCGTTGTGTAAGATTGGATCCATACCCTGCTATATAAGTGAAACCCCTTTCCGAGATACCCTTGGGTTAATTCTTGTCCTGTTGTACTGTAAAGGAATGGCCAATTTTACTGATCACTTGCCGGGTCTTCCACTGCTTTTAACACAAGACAGCTGTCTTCGACTCTTCTCAACAAAGGATCCCAAGTTTTTTTCCAGATTTCACGATATCTTGCCTGGCTCGCCGCACGTCTTTGTGCATATGAACGTTGATCAGAAAGTGTTCAATGAGCCTGCAAAGTGGAAATCATCCTTAGTCAGGCCTTTGGATGTAGAGGGATTCTCAGCTCATCTAGCCCAAACACTAGAGCTTGATCGTTATGGAAAAGGTCGTTTTGTAGAGTGGTCTTGGAATCAAGACGGTGTTCCCAACCAACGATGGATATCCAGAGTGTGGATTTTCCTTAGCGACCTGTTTGCAACAGTTCTCCGTGATCAAAGTCTACCTGAACAAACCAAGTGTTCTCAGATTAAGTCTGCTCTTGGATCTCTTGCCAACTGGAGTATCCTTCCAGCTACAGAGTCTAAAATTGAAGCGCGGACAAGCCCTTTTCTTCCATTCAGTATATCTGCAACGTCCACTCAGTTTCTTGTTCCCTTATCCAAGGCAACGGCTGTCCTCGATTACAGAAGCCCAGATGCTTCCAGTAATAATCTCTTGGAAGTTTTAAAGAAACTCGGTGTACCAGAACTCAATTATGCTGTGCTGTCAAACTTGAGCTCTGCGATCCCGCTTGCACCTTATTTGGTTTCTTCTCTGAAGATTCCTTCATCTCTACTTACTTCCATCCGCCATAAGATAGAGAAAGACCCTCAGTCTCCTGAGAGACTGGATTCAAAGGACTGTAGAACAATTTTGGAGTACTTCAGTAAAAGTGTGGCCGGTCTTCATGAGGCAGACAAAAGCAAGCTAAAAAAGCTTCCGTTCTTCCTAGCGACACATGGTGGCTTTGTACCACTTGACAATGATTGCCGTGTTTGTGTCCTTCCAGTTGGGATACCGAGAAAGGAAATGGAAATCTTGGAGCGACACCGAAAGTTAGTCTTCATTGAATCCTGGGCAGTTCTCTCAAATTTGTTCAAATTCCTGGATCTAGAGTGCGTTTCTGCCGTAGACGTTTACTGCACATACATTCTGCCAACGTTTAACATCTTCAGCCAAGAGGGGAGGCTAGTACACCTGGAGTACATTCGTAAACACCTTCTTTCAGAATTTGTAGCGGATGATGACATGGACAAACAAAGGCTTAAGAACTGTTTGGAAACAACTCCATTTATTCCCTCCATAGATGGAACGCTTCAAACTGCATCCTCATTCTACGACCCTGACGTTGACGTTTTTCGCATAATACTCCCACCAACCAATTTCCCTTTGAAGCCACTTAATTCGCGAGAATGGTTAATGGTTTTAAGGACAATAGGGTTGATTCATGAGGTCTCCCATGATCACTTCAAGAAATTTGCCAGAGAGGTTGCAAACGAAGCCACTACAGCACGAACAGTGAGGACATTTGAGAAGTCACGAGTTCTAGTGAAACATCTTCTTCGCCGACACAATGTAGTGGCTGAACATCTTTTACCTGCCATAGCCGACATACCTTTTGTAAGCAGCGAGCCGGCAAGAAAAGGTCTCCGAGAAGTTTGCCTGCCGTATCAGGGAATGAGCGATGAACAGATTCCGTTCTGTACTTTCAAAGGGGCGGTTCCTTCCGAGTATGCTGAAATTGTTTGGACACAGGCCCATTTACTTCCACGTTGGGCGGATCCAATGGCTTGCCGCCGTGAACTTAGCTTTCCCCCAAAAATGAACACTGAGAAATATTGCAAGGTTTTTACTACTCAACTTCAAATTGTTGCAGAGCCATCTCTAGAACTTGTTGTTCGTCATTGTCAAGCCGTTTGTCACTCCCAACAAAACAAGGATGACGCTGATATTTCCTCATTTGAGCAACGAACGACTTTAAAGGCAGTAATGGAACTCATTTACGAGTTCTTGCAGACAAAGCTGAACACAGGAAACGATGTGAAAAGCTGTCTGGGGAATACGCCATGCGTTTTGGTCGAGCAAGGGAAGAGATTTATCCTTCCACGGCAGGCAGTGCTCGAATTATATGAAAATCTCGAAATAAAGCCCTTTCTATACAGTCTACCTCGAGAGTTTGGAAAGTTTCATCCTTTTTTTCATGCGCTTGGCTGTTCAAAGTATGTCTCCATTTCCCACTACGCTATGGTGTTACAAATGCTCTACCTGAAATCTAACAACGACAAACTGCATCCAAATGAGATCACAGCATGCGTAAAAGCAGTGAAAGGTTTTTTTCAACTACTTGAAGAAAGCGCGGAAGAGTTGTCGAGCGTTCCACAGCTTTACCTTCCAGGAATTTCCTTGAGGGGAAGTTCTTTAGATGAGGCAGAGGGTGTTTTACCAGTGACATTACAACAATCTTCGTACTTGGTGTTTTGTGATGTTCCCCCTTCCTTCCTTGATCGTCTGCAGAATTTTGACCATCTTCTGCTTGACCTGAAATCAATGAAGGTGACGTGCAGCTCTGCCATGACCAACTACAAAGAGCTCGTGATGAAATTGCCTGCTGCATTACGACCCAAAATGCTATCCAGTTTAGTTAAAGAAACAATCTCCTCGAAGAAGCAGATAACAACCTCATCGGTTGAAGCTGTGAATTCTCTCAAACAGAAGCTGTCTTGCCCACAGTTCATCGCTGCGATTGTGAGACTAATACGGGACGAGAACCAGAACAGGAAGGATATAAACGACGATGTCATGGCAAATGTCGAAAGACGCCTTCGAAGTATTGATATCTGCGTTGTAGAGAACCTCCAAAGCGTCTTACTTTGTGACGACAGTCCTATTCAGGGCAGCCAAAAGGGAGTTTCTTCCGTCCTAGAAAATAGTGTTATCTCAGATGAGGAGAGGTGGACGGTCTATCTCGATCTGGTATCGGTGACGAACGAAACATTTGCATGTATTTACATACTTTCTGACGTAATTGTCGACGTTTTGGAAGGTCTTCTTGGAAACAGAGCGTTGATGATCCCTCGCTTGTTGAATTGTGATCCCTGTGACATGTCTTCGTTATTAGATGTTTTGGGTGTACGTTCAGATGACTCCTACGTTTCGCGGGCAGAAGTTGAAATCTTTCCAAAACTTGGCACTTTTATTCCGCTTATCGACCATCACTTGTTAAACGAGGCCTTTGAAGAATTTGAGCCCGGTGAATATGTTGGTTTTGAGCTCGAAGATCCAACTCTAAACCGCGAGAAGGGTGAACCGACTTACATCTATGCAAGAGTTGTCAGGGAAGTGACAGAGAAAGGTTTTCCTCTCTTGACGAAGAGATACAAAATTGACGTTGGCGGTGACCAAGAAATAGAGGTTGATGTCGCAGACCTTTACAAGTTTCATCGTTGGTCAACCCTATCATCTGCGATTGTAGTATCTGAACGTCAAGAACAGAGCCCTCCTGAACGACATAGAAGCAGAAACCAGCAAGAGATATTTGACGAGATCTCGAAACTTCTAGAAGATGCGTGGAAATTACCAGAGGAGAAACGCCGAAAAATCATCAAGCGGCTCTATCTGCAATGGCATCCTGACAAAAACGTTGGTGATGAGGTATTCTGCACAGAGGTTTGCAAACATATCCAGAGTGAGACCTCACGGCTGGAAAGAGGAGTGCCTCGGGGAAGTCAGCAAAGCTCAGACGTTGGACCCAGCTCAAGTCAGCATGGTTTTTACGACGACTTTTTCCACTCCTGGGAGGCACGCGCCAGGAAACACCACACACAGCGCAAAGGATACAGATCGAGAGAGCAGTTCCGTAGAAGCTCTGCCAGGCCAAAGAACCCGCAACCGGGAGAAGCCAAGCGGTGGCTCAAACAGGCTGAGGCTGATATAGCAGCAACAGAGAATGATATTGTCTACCAAAGACCCTCCTATGAATGGGCGTGTTTCAAATGCCACCAGGTAAGCTAGAAACTTCACCGGCCCCCTTGCTCGCTTTGCTCGCTTTGATCTTTTTTTGCCCCCATTTGTCCTTTCGGCATAGTGATTTCTTGAGTCGGCAATAATTTTGCCCAGTCTCTCTTTCAACTTGAATGAGTCGACAAGTTTTCGGAGCCGACCCTTGCTTGTATTAATGGAAAGCATTTTCTCTCGTATGAACTATAAAACGTATTTTTCCACTCGCATCGTGTAGACAGTATTTGACACACGAATGACCAAAAAATATCGAGAAACTTTGTACCGCCGTTTTCTTGAGGACTTTAGAAGTTACTTATTTTGTAAATCGCATGGGAAAAAGAGTGTTTTGAGAGTAAACGGAAAATGAACACTAGATTTTTTCTTCAAAACATTTGTTTAGCTTAAATGAAAGAATTTTCGTCATAGGCGGCAGAGAAGGCTCTCAAAGCTGCACAGTACGCCATAGATGTGGAGAGGACAAACGTACACAACTTGATGCAGATTTGCCAAGAGTTAGAAGACTCTGAATTAACCCAACTGGCGCGTCAGCTGGAATGCCTTGTGGTTAATTCTACACGCATGCGCTATCCAGATAGAGTGTGCTTTCCCAAAATCCCAAATGAAGTGTACTCGGCTGACATGGCAGAAGAAGCCTTGTGGTTAGCGAAGAAGATCGTCCAGCGAGTTAAGAATCGATTAACCTAAGGTTTGTGCAATGAGGACAATGATTCTAATGTATATTGCTATAAAATGACGGAACAAAAAATAGTGTACAACCAAGCAGACAGTTAAATTTCCCAGAATTGGTTTGAACGCCAACCGTTCCTAAGCTAGGTAGGGAGCTTTTACGGTTCTAGGGAGGCAGCATTGTCAAACGGGAAAATAAAATTTGTATTTGCTTTCGCAAAACTGAACGGTTACTTATGTTATAATTATATTGCCCTTGCAGTTTACTCCAACAAAAGTAGAGGTAGACGCATTCAATTTTATACATATAAAAAATATGTCTCACGAACTGTACTAACAAACACTTTTTTCCCTTTCTATAGGTCGTTTCGAAACAACTGGTGATGCACTTTACTCAAGGGCAGTCAGCATCCCAATTTAAACGTAGTGATTTTTAGACAACTAAACTTATTTATTTGATAGCTTAACTTTTAGTAGCACCGTAGACGATGCATACTTGAAGTTGAGCCAGAAATGATCATGAGAACAAAGCTAGACACGGTGTGCCACATATCAACAACAAAAACATAATTGTTAATAGATAGTACAGTTGAGTATCCAATCCATTTCTGGACCCTCCCTTTCTGCCACGCAACAGAAAGAGAAGGGCCAGAAGTGAAATACGTTAAGGCCACGAAGTTGATTAAGAAATTATCTTTATTTACAAGAGTACGAGATATTCCGTTTTGATCTTCTTGTTTTGTATAGGCATTACATGTGCCTGACAAAACATCGTAATTCTATGAAATCAGTTTCCGACCGTCAACTTTTGGAAAGAAAAAATCAATCGATTGGGTCCGAACGTTTTTTGCCCTTGTTACTTATAGCTTATTATAGCTGACTTCATGAGATTATTACAGTTAACTAATAGCCACATACTAAATAGAAACCGTTAGAAAATTTGTAAAAGGTCAGATAATCAGTAATGCTGTGATGCCATTTGGAACAAGAAGAAATCTAACATCAGAAAGCTGAGAATAAATTCCGAGCTTCGGGTGAGAATCAAACTCCCAACCCTCCGAGTTCTAGTTGGAGTGCTCTTTTCCATTGTATTTTCGCCATTAGACATTTCAATATTGAACGCTCCGTAGATTACATGCACATCAGTAACGTAGCGTTAGCCAACTCAATAACGATAATTCCAGAATGTAGTCTATTACGCAAAAATTGCATAGCCCGGCATGAAGGAAGAATAAAACAGAGACAAAACAAACTTTGTATTATTTTGGGTAGCTTCATTAAAGGGGCTGTGTCACGGCAGACTGGTTCATTTTGTTTAATTTTGCCAATTACTCGCCCTCAATCGCTATGGAACTTAAAGTAAGCAAAGAAATTACATGTGAATGACGAAATCAGAGATCCGAGACAAACAAATATATCCCCTGAGCATTGTTTTTGAAGTTGCAAGCAGCACGGATCAACTTTGAAAAACTGTTAGGCTGAACAGTTTGCAAAAACCCTAATTTCAATCCGTTTCAATCTTCTTCAGTTTTGCCCATCCGTGGCATCTGTTGTTTCTGTTATGTTATTTTAACCTTCCTTGAAAGTTTTAAACGGTTATTTTTATGTTTCTATTGATTTAACGAGCATTTTGTAATTTCCTAATTTGGCTGAATTTCGTGACGCAGCTCCTTTAATGCGGTTTTTTTTTTTTCATATATGGAGACCACTGTTTTGGATTTTACAGGGGTTTTCTTTAGGTTTGTGATTTCTTGATTGCTAATTTTTTTTATTCCTCAATAAAAGTAAAAAATAATAATGATACTGAAGATTCAAGGATACGGTGTCTAAAAGGGGAGAGAGTGGACCACGAGAGCAACATAACCTGCAATTGAGTTCTATTTTTCAGAGAAAACTTGTTATTTCTTTTCACTCAGGTTTTGATCAGTATGCTAGAGAAGAAAGTACATAGCAGTTGCTCGTCCTAACGTCCAACCATTTCCTTCCTATAGCATTATAGCATTGAACACACCATTTTTGTTAACTGTTAAGGAGACTTTTAAAAAATAAGTTAGGTTTCTCAAATATACATTTAAATGTAATTACACTCCTCGCTTTTTACAAATAAATCGTTGTTTTTTCCTTCATTTTCTCGTCCTTTTATTGTGTTTTATTTTAAAGGTACCATTTCGTCATTTTTACATTTCCTCGCAAATAACATTTTGCAAAAGTTTATTTTAAGGTGAGGGAATCCAAATATAACTTATACTGAAATGTGCAGCCATTAAGTAATGATGAGTTTTTTTTTTCCTTTTTAAATCCAAAAATTACGTGAATCGATTTAAAGCTTAGGCCAAAAATGAGAAGTGTGAGGTGTCCATGTGTTGGTGCAAGAGTTGAGTTCTCTTGAGACCATACATCAAGCATTGAGCAATCTTATTTGTGGCTAAAAGAAGTAAAGATGACATCTTTTTGAGCAACTGAAAAGCAAGTTTTTTGGTCTAAAATGTCTGTTGTATATACATGCGTTATTGAGCGAATATGAGGTCAAGATAAGTAAATATTGGCAGGTTGTTTAATTTTCGAGATGAAGTCATGAAGTCTTCAAAAAAGTGAAACAAAAACGAACGAGGGCAATAGCCAGCAACCTTTAAGGGAAAAGCTTTTCCATGCATTATTTGTTATATGGCCAAAGGAAAACGTTTCCTCGCAGAGACAACACTACTGTGTCTGTAAGATTTTAGAAAAGTGACTCGTGAAATGTGACATTTGAAACAATTCGTGCAAAGAGTATAACGAAATGGATTCTGTTTGCTTAAGACCATGAATCCGGACGAGAGGGGATGAACTATTATTAACTATAATGTTCCAAGGAACTCTTTCGGGCAAATTCTTAGAGATTGCAATGGGAAACAAAGATCTAAGATCGCATTAAAAGGGATTAAAATTGTGAAAATTTGCTGTTTTAAATGAACCATTCATTTATAGCTGATTTTCTTGAACCTTCTCGAGCCTGGGAAATATGTTGAAAAATTTCTACCAAATTCATTGTTAGTCTTGAATATCAATTGTAGGCAAGTCGACTTATCTATATGCTGAAAATAGCGGTTTTAAAGTAGTTAAGGAGGAAATAAAGCATTTAAATACGTAACACATGACTGAAAATCAGCAACCCTTTTATATATCTTTGATGAGAGAAAATGGCCCCTTTCTCACATAATTCATTATTAGTGCCAAGGGCCCAGTTGTTCGAAGGCCGATTGGGGCTTAACCCGGGTTTCTTTTTCTTGTGTTCCAAAAGCATTATCTCGGATAATTTTCTCTGTTATTTTTAGAGCTTCCAATCATCAGCTTTGAACAACTCGGCCCTGGGGTAAATCTCGCCCATTTCGTGAGGAAATGGAACTGGCTAAACATAGAAATACACTAGAGTAGTACGGCGAATCCTTTTAACCGATCTGGCTTTTCTTTTTTAAAATTTCGATTGCGTCTATCCTCCCTTCATCGCAAAGTTTTCTAGTGCTCCTTGGTGACGTAGCTTAATACTTGAATTAACAGCATACAAGCGCGACGAAACGCTTTTTTCTGAGTTATGGCGTCGATATCTGTGGTGGAGTTTCACGACTTCAAGAAAAGTCTCTGTCCACGCCACGCCACGCCCGCGAGGATATCTGGGATGGATATAGAGATGCCCAGATCCTCGTGCGCGGCGCGCATGTGTAACTGCGAAAAAGATGCTTTTCTTGGAAAGTGGATCCCCATTATGTCATAAAGCGATGCCGTGAATGAGAGGAAAGCCATACATTACGTTTCATGCTGTAATGATTCAAAGGCAGGAGGGCCATGGCCACCAACAAGGCATAAGCTTGAATGTGCGAGCACCAACCAGATTTCACTTAAGCTCTGATAAAGATAGACAAAAGGTGGAAAGAAAAGTCACATATTTTTCCATAATTTGTTAAATAAATTTCACTGAAAAAAATATGAACAGGGCATACAGCTATTTTAATTAACGATGCCGGATTTGAGTGACAGGACCGCAAGGTCATGTGGGTAGCTGTAAATCCTTTAACATTTGGTCTCAATTTAGCGGTGGTTAGTGCCAAAGAATAGAATAATGGTGACAAACGTTTACGAGAGCAATTTTGTGACAGGGAAAATTTATTTCATGGCTCCAAGTTGATAATAAGTAGCCGTATACAGAAGCCCATAGCTGTATGTCTCTCATAGCAGCCAAGTCTTGGTTACACGCCAGCAGGTGCAATCAACCGGATCGATTTCCGTGAAATCTGCCCAAACAAGCCATTTCTGCTGTTGTTACTTTCCCGGAATTCATCAGATTAAAA